TTTGTACAGATATTGCAGAAATCAAGGAAAGCTGTCTTATCATAAAGCCTTATGAGTTATTTAACTAAAGCATGGAAAGACAACATTGCACCTTTGCTGCTAGAGGCAAGCTTGCTGGAAAATGACATTTTAATTACATCATGGTTTTTACGTTTTTAAAATACTTACTCTTATCTCAAGTCAGGACAAAACCTAACAAATCCCCAAAACTACAAAAACAGGTGGTGCTGCGTATCTTCCACCCAAGAGCAGAGCCTGATGCTCCTATTTCACTGAGACATTGAGAAACTAAAGAACTGAGCAGGCAAGAAGCACAGGCAGTTTGTGTCAAATTACTGCCTCAGGAATATTCCTTTAAATTTTTTTTTTTTCTTTAGAACTACCTTGTTCACCTCTTATTTGCTTTGCCAGCCTGTGGCAAAACTTTGAGCAGAACAAACTGCTGGGCAGAGGCGAGCATGGTCGTGGCAGGATGGGAGGGACAGGCAAGCCCCTTGTCTCAGAGACCAGCTCTGAATTCACTCTGGAGGTGCAAAATCATCTTTAAAGTGTTCAGAAAGGTCAAACAGCAGAACAGGGGCAAGATGGGATTTTTTTTCTACGTTTATGCACCAGCTAATAGAATAGGGCGCTGATTATTTTGATGTGGGCTCCTATAATCTGTCGCAATTGGAGCGGGAGCAGCAGGAAGAGCAGGATTACCAGCGGGAAGACGTCTCCCCGCTGCACTGCCCCTTGCTCATAGAATCATAGAATCACTGAATCATAGAATGGTTTAGGTCGGAAAGGACCTTGAAGATCATCGAGTTACAACCTCCCTGACATAGACAGGAACACCTCCTACTGGACCAGGTTGCCCAAGGCCACATCCAGACTGGCCTTGAACACCTCCAGGGATGGGGCCTCAACAACCTCTCTGGGCAACCTGTTCCAGTGCCTCACAACCCTCAAACTAAAAATTTCTTCCTAATGTTTAATCTAAACCTGCCCTCTTCTGGTTTATAACCATTCCCCCTCGCCCTATCACTCCATGCCTGAGTAAAAAGTCCCTCCCCAGCTCTCCTGGAGCCCCTTTAGGCACTGGAAGGCCGCAATAAGATCTCCCCGGAGCCTTCTCTTCTCCAGGCTGAACAGCCCCAACTCTCTCAGCCTCTCCTCACAGCAGAGGTGCTCCAGCCCTCGGATCATCCTCGTGGCTCTCCTCTAGACACGCTCCAGCAGGTCCATGTCCTTCTTATGTTGGGGACTCCAGAGCTGGATGCAGTACTCCAGGTGGGGTCTCACCAGAGTGGAGTAGAGGGGCAGAATCACCTCCTGTGACCTGCTGGCCACAGGCCACTCATGTAACCTGGGCTTGGGATGTGCTTGTGCCCCACGTTGGGTGGGCTAAACCCACCACTTAGGGGTTAAAAGGGCAACGCATACGGCCAGGAGGCGCCTCGTGCTGCTGGGAAAGAGGATTGAGCAGGGTGGGTAAAATTTAGGGAACACAGATGGGATAAAAGGTGGTGAGCCTGGAAGAGATCCCAGAAACGATGGGTGTTGTAACAACTGTGCAATACGATAATGCGGAGCAGACCGCAAAATAGGCGAAACTGGGATTATTAGGCCTGTTTGGCATATGTGTTTGTAACGATTGCACAGTACCTGGTGTCCTGGATATGCATCTTCCATTTAAGATAAATAACTTTTTGGTGAACACAAACAGGGAGGGAAGAACCCAGGTATGGCATGTCTTTCTCTGAATTCCCTTTCCACGCGATGAAAAGAAGATCTCAAAAGATTTTATTAACTTGTAAACTGTGATTTAAGGGAATTTTAAACAGCATGTGAAAGAAAAATAATGAACAAATGTTTTCAAGTGGGAGAAATCTGTCCCTGCCATATGTTTCACTGAGTCATCCCTTCTGCAGGAGGAGATCTTGCAATTGTTTCAACTGTTCCAGTCACTAGTCCTTTTTATTTAGTAACAACATCACTGTAAACTCAGCACCCGATCCGGCAACGCATTAATACCACGTGCTGGGTACCTGATGCCTCTAAAGTCAACACGTGTTTTGCTCTGGGCACAGGTTAAATTCTCCCCGTGGGTCTCACCTTTGAGCAAAGACCAAACCTGGCCATGGGTTTCCACTTGCCAGCTAGATGGTGTGGTGCCCTGCACTCTCCAGGGTATTATAGAAACCTCAAAACCCACCACTTCTTCCTCTTTAATCTATACGTGGACCCTTCGCATCTCGGCAGAGCCCCACGCTGACACCGTTGTGTGGTTGTGTTGCAGGTATGGCTGTGCGGCGGCAGCATGGAGGTCCTGCCCTGCTCCAGGGTGGCTCACATCGAGCGCAAGAAGAAGCCCTACAACAACAACATCGGTTTCTACACCAAGCGCAACGCTCTGCGGGTGGCCGAGGTGTGGATGGACGACTACAAATCGCACGTCTACATCGCGTGGAACCTGCCGCTGGAGGTACAGTCGTTGCACCCTATCCTAAGCCTTCACTTAAGTTAAAAACTTGAATTATAGAGCATTTAGTGCCCCTCAGTGAAGGAGAGCCTTAAATACCGTGGATCACATCCCTGAAGTCAGCAGAGCTCCCTCGGCTTTGACGGAGATGCTGCAAAACCTGCAGAATTTGGAGGATTTCCTACTGTTCACATCAGCCTTTTTATTTCCATTTCTAAAAATTAAACCTGCATTGTAGTGTTTATCTCCCCGTTGAGTGTTTACACAGCGTGCGTTTATGTCATTACACCGCTCCGCAGATGGAGCCTGTCTGTAAAGTCGGTTGGCAGAAGATGATTAATATCAGCATCGTAAGCGCCTGAGGTTGTTTCCTGCAGCTCCAGCAGGTCCGTGTCGCGTGCAGCCCAATGCGGGTTTCCCAGCTGGCAGACGCTGTTGCTGCCCAGAGCTCCCGGCGGCCGGTGAGTGGTCCATGTGCCTGGGACAGTGTTGGGAACGTCGAGGCTATCAGCACTTAGAAACCATGTTCAGAGGCAAAGGGTTAGAGGTCAGTGGCCCACAGGAGATCCCCTCCCAGCAGTGCCACGTGCAAGTGCTCCAGAAACACTCTCACCTTTGGTGGTTATATTTATTTCTGCACAGAAATGGATAGATTTTCTTAGATCTGACATGTTATTTTTCATGTAAATCCTACCATGTTGCAGCATGGTGCATCTTTGGAAAACCATGGGGTCCCACCAGCAAGACACGCTGACTATGCATGACCAGGGGACATGTCCTGCACGTGGACCTCTCTGGTTGATTCCCTGCACTTCTGCGCAAAGCTCTGTAGGCTCCAGGAGGACTTTATGTAGGTCCAAGGCTGCTTGGGCTCCAGTCTCCGTGGAGGTTGTGTCTAATCATGAAACGCGAGAGCATCTCCTGCCTCCCAGCTCCGAACGCTGCCTGGAGTGCTCTGGGAACACCCCCGGCTGGGCCGGTCCCCCCATCTCCTGCCTCCGGTCCTGCCAGAAGGAGAAGAAGAGGTGGTGAGGAGGGGGAGGCAGCGATGCTGTCCAGGTGATGGGTGGGATGAGGATTCAGGGTGCCCTGCGGAGCCCCCGGACACCCACTCCACTCGCAGTGCACTTAAGCAGGAGCACTGCGCTGCTCTCTTCAAGCGTGAGGAAAAACCTTTTCCATGAGTGGCCAGACCCCACGCGAGCAGTTATTTACAGCCACCCTTCTGGTGCTAAAAATAAACACAAAATGTTTATACCTCGCAGATCACCCCCCTGCAAAGAGCTGCTGCCATCCTCATCCTGCGGCGGCAATGTCCCCGGCTGGCAGCGCTGCACCCCGGGGCCTTCCGAAGAAACATTATAACAGCAAAAACATGAGCTGCTGCCACAGGTTACATCTGGGGAGAGTTACTGGTGTTTAGAGCCACGGTAGTCACAACTTCCTACTGCATTAGAGAGCACCAGGTACCTGGGAAGGGTGGATGAGCTGCCTGCGCTGCCGGTTCATCGTCCCGGGGGCGGTGGGGAGTCCTGGAGTTGTTCGTTATGGAGAAATAGAGGAATGGTGATAGAAAGAAAAGCTGCTTACCCAGCGAGCTGCAGGAGGGCGCTGGCTGCGATGGGCACCGCTCCAGGCGTTGCGAGACGCGGGGAGTTGCCTGCCGGACTGAAAGATTTCAAGTCTCTCTTAAAAATAGAGGAGAAGATCCAAACGCTGGTGGGCAGGGATCATAAAGTACTGTGGGTTCAGCCCCGATCCTCGGGCTGATTCCTTTTTAGAGGTGAGGCACCATGCTCCTGCTCAGAAACAGGTTTGGAGCAGGGCAAAAAGGGATTAAAATTCTTTGGGAGCCACAGGTCCTGGGAAAAGGCACGAGTCAGCACTGCGGGGGTGGGGGTAGGTCTGGGGAAACAGGTCTGGGTTACCCTAAAAACAATTTGGGATTTTTATGTGCGTCTTACCAGTAAAATTGAGATTTAATTTTAGAGAAGCCTTGTTTGACAGGGTTATTCAGTATACACTGGATGATTTCGTGATGCCACTATATTCAAGACAGAGCCAGACCCCGTGCACTGAATATTTCAGGTGCTGACTGGTTTGCGGTCCCGCTTTGCTCTGTGTCCCATCTCACCCACTCAGATTTCAGCCTGTCCTACCTGTCTACACTGAATCATCTTTATTTTTACCTATGAGCTACCAGTCCCGCATTAAAATGGTGTCTTCTCTAAAGCAGAGTGAATAATTCATTAGAAGATCATTACAAGCATTGTAATGGAAAATTGCTTTCCCAGCTGTATTTAATGATGACTGCAAAAGACAAGAGCAGGAGCTAAAATAGAGTAGAAACCCAGACACCTGTAGGAAGGAGTAAAAGGGGCCACAACGTGCCTTTGGTTTCCTTCACCTGGCTGCTGCATTAGTTCCCCAAATTCTGTAATGGAATAAAAGGTTAAAGGAGGGGCAGCTCTCTTGAGGCCCTGCTCCCGGCTCCTGTAAGATTATTCCTCCGGGGACAGATCTTATAGCTTTGTCTGCTTTCAGATCGGCTGGAGCAGTGGGGTTCCTCTGTGTCTCCAGGGAGACTATTTCACCACGTAATTGTCCAAATTGTCAAGAGGTTTTTCTGAGGTTCAGCCTCAACTTCTCTTCTCCTGTAATTTTTATCCTTTATTCTTAGCCTCTATTATATATGAATCATAAACCTTTCTCTTTTTTCTTCTTTTCTTCCCCCTCCCTTATTTTATACCTTTCAACTGTGCTGTCCTCTGCATTGCTCCTTTGTAGGGTCCCTCACCCTCGGTGTGTAAGGTGGGGGGGAGGATTTGATGCTCAGTGCACAGACAGGGGTTTGCATTTCCAGGATTCAGCATCTTTTAAACCCTGATGTACCTTTGCTGTTAGGCTTTTCTGGAAGTCTTGTATGGCAGTATCTAAACAGGAGGTGAGATCTTTTAAAAATACTTCATCGTTGTGCCCGTTGACAGATTCCGTCTTTCTCAGATGGATCCAAAGCCCAGAGGAATCGCTGATTCACCTCTGTTACACTACACTTCTCGTATTTCCTTCAAAAAACTTTTCTTCTCCATTTGGGTTCTCTTTTCTAAATTACTTCCCAGGACAAAAACGTGTCCAGCGTCAGTCTGGTGACCGTTGCAAGAGTGCCTTCAAACCCTATGCGAGATGTCCACGTCTCCTCCTCGCTGTGGCTGTGAAACCCAAGTCTTCTTCTGACTTCTGTGAGGGTGATTTCAGCTTGGACACACATGCTAAAATTCCCTGGCACGGCCTTTTGTGGATTTTCTCAGCTGTTGGCAGTTCCCAGGCAGCTTGGAAGCTATATCAAAGAGCAGTGCAATATGCTCTTCTTACGTTTTTTCTAAGAGTATCCGCTCAGTGACGTGCTATGTCTTTATTTTTCAGAATCCGGGTATTGACATTGGGGACGTTTCCGAGAGAAAAGCGTTAAGGAAGAGCTTGAAGTGCAAAAATTTCCAGTGGTACCTGGACCACGTTTATCCAGAAATGAGAAGATACAATAACACCGTCGCTTACGGAGAGGTAATTAAGGCTGAGCAGTCCTTTAGATCAGACTGGTAATATTTACAGCTGGTAAGTCGCTGATGAGAAATACCCTCAAAAGAGAAGAATGTGAATCAAAAACTACCATTTGTGTATAATTATATAAATTTGTATAAATCTGTTCACAGTTTCTTCTAAAAACCTGTTTTGGGATTTATTTCTCATCTTGGAGACTATATACAGTAAAATATTTTAAGACCTCATTTACTGAATTGACAGAAAATTATCTATATTACCCATTGACTCCATGGATTAAGCAACTGTATGTGTATTTTTAATACATAGTCGTTTTATAAAACCCTTTGACTTAAACTCAGCCTTATTCCTTACAAGGTCTCTGTGGGATACAGTGTGTTGTCACAACAGCTTAAGGACAAGATAAAGTAAGGAGACTTAATTCAATCTCTGCTGGCTTTGAGACCATACTGGGAATATAAAAACAGGCATTTATGGGAACTAATAATACTCTGTTGCAATAGGTCTCATGGAATAGTGGCAGTTTGAGAAGGCTTCTTGAAGCACAGCCCGAGCACCCCAGATGGGCATTAATTTTAAGAAAGATTTATTATCAAAGTTACTTAATGCCTTCAAGCTAAAACCTCCCCAAAAGTGGTGTTTGCAAAGGCGTTATTGCAGTTGGGCGATACGGGGAGCCCGGAGAGGGGACAGCGGCATTACCCGACCCGGTGGCTGTGGTACAGCGGCCATGTGGCTTTGTAGCATGAAGCCAGCACATCCACGCTCCCCCCGAAGCGTGACGGCTGGTTTGCCACATCTGCCTCTCCTGCTTCATCCCCACGATGATTCGAATGGGGCTCCTTGTGCTAGCTGGACTTTTTCCCCTGCCTCGTCGAGCACGTTGAGATTTCGATCAAATACAAGCGATTCTGCATGGATTTCAGGCTCCTGGCAACGTGCTGGCGGCGGGCTAAAAATATGTTTGTTACCACCGCACATGACCAAATACAAAGAAAACTGTGTTCAAGGAAGTTGGCTGCTTTGAATGGTGATTATTATATAAAAGCAGTCATCATTAAGCCCTGTATTTAAAGAAAACATATGGCGCACTAAACCTTTCTCTGCCTGATTATGCCCAGTGATATAGCACCGTATATTGTTTCCGTAGCACGAGAGGCTGGAGAAATTGCTGCACATCAGTTTACGGCTCATCTCTGCGGAGACAGGGCCCTATAACTCCACACTTTTTATTTCTTACAGCTTCGAAACAACAAGGCGAAAGATGTCTGCCTTGACCAGGGCCCGCAGGAGAACCACACAGCAATATTGTACCCGTGCCACGGCTGGGGACCGCAGGTGAGGACTTACTCTTCCAGGAGGTACCGACAGAGGCGGAATGGACAGGGGACGGACATGCGACTTGCCCGTTGGCTTCAGTCGAATATATAAGGCCCAGCTTCTTCTTAAAAAATACCGATATAAAGGTGCATTTTCCCAGCTACTCTTAGAGTAGCTATTTTCTGGATTACCATAATCATGCCAGAGCTGCAAGTAAAAGCGTAAGTTGAAAAAAAAAAATCTTCCAGATGAGGGCAAATAATGCTGAGAGCAAATAGCCATGAGCAGAGCAGAGCATACACAAGCAGAGCATTTTTAAGACGTTTCCTTTCTCTTTCACCCAGCAGAGTAAAAACGTACCAACTGGGTGAGGGGAACAAACAGTGCTTTTTAACGGGATGATAATTAGCCATTTCGGCTTGGCTGAGATTTACCATAGTGTTAGTTTTCTAGCATTCCTTTTGCCTCTCCAAAAGTTTTGGAGCAAACCAAAAGCCTCTTACCCTAATTTTAAGCTTAAAAGTCATCATTCCAAGATTCTCTCTCAATCTCATATCTTTTAAGGGATTGGGGGATGTGCTGAATACTGAAAGTCAGTGACGATGAACTAATTCAGCTTCTTGTGCAGTTTTCTCTCTTACTGTCTTTTAAGCAGAAAGCAGCACAGGAATGCTGCTGGTTTGATCACCGTAGATTTGGAACAAAACGGGGTACAACACTCCCTGTGTCGCTGATGGCATTTGTGAAACCAACAGCAGACTCTAAGCTGGACTTTCAGGATGTGCAGCTCCAGGGATAATTTACCCAGTTCCCCACTAACTTTTCCTGTCTGGTTTTCTCTTACCTCAGCCCATATCCTCACATCAGTATTTTGCCTAAATCCTGTGATTTCCTTTGTGTTTTTCTTTCTGTATGCCTAGTGGTCACCATCTCATCATGTGAATCCCTTAGCGCAATGTCCTTCTCCCCTACAGTCTTTAAGGAGAAAATAGAAGTTTCCCTTTAGGTCTGGAAGCAGAGTGGCCATCTTATGACACATGGGGTTTTCCAGAATTACGATGTGATTTTTAGGTTTTCTTTCATTACCAAAATCACGCCTGACCTCCCTATAAAGCCACAGAGTAACAGCCCCTGTTCTTCTGACTTCAACCTGCCTGTGTTTGCCTTTCCCATGTAAATGCTGGGGCTATACTGGAAATTTAGCCAAGGCAGGGATGTTGTGGATGATGGGCTCTACCACCATTGCGCTTGCACGGTGTGTAGTGGCGGTGGGTGGAAACAGGGATAAACTCTTCTGTGACAAGACTGTTTCTTCTGTTGCTTTTCTTTTCCCTTTGTTGAAAAGTCCATGCTCAGACTTGGAAATATTTCTGTCTCTGGATCAGGCACGTTTGTGCTGAAGGGATTGCATCTGCTTAGAAATTGGGGCAAAACTGCACCTAAAAGCTGTCTGAACACCAGGTTTCTAGGCTGAAGCCATCATCCACATTCTCTCTAAAGAAGACAAGATGTGCCGCAGGAGGGGACCCAGGAGTGGACTGCTGGGTCCTGCCTATCCCTCTCCATTGCCAAGAGGACAAGTCTTACACTGGAAGCTTAACATTGACCTGGGGGAGGTTTGGTGAGACAACTCCACCCCAGCTGTGCCCAAATGCTGAGTTAGAATCATAGAATCGTAGAATGGTTTAGGTTGGAAAGGACCTTGGAGATCATCCAGTTCCAACCCCCCTGCCATAGGCAGGGACACCTCCCACCAGCCCAGGTTACTCCAAGCCTCGTCCAACCTGGCCTTGAACACCTCCAGGGATGGGGCCTCAACAACCTCTCTGGGCAACCTGTGCCAGTGCCTCACAACCCTCAAAGTGAAAAATTTCTTCCTAATGTTTAATCTAAACCTGCCCTCTTCCAGTTTAAAGCCGTTGCCCCTCATCCTGTCACTGCGTGCCCTAGTAAAAAGTCCTTCCCCAGCTCTCCAACATGCCATCCCATTCCTGGTACCTGTCCTGAGATAAGATCTAAATTTTTTTTGGTCACATCTTAATGATGAGCTCATCAAATCTGGCTGAAATCCTGGAGCAATTATCAGGGCTTAGCAAGACAGGGTGTCAGCTCTCTGTTCTATCACAGCCTTAAATATGACTTAAACACTTCTGTCTTAATTCTCCACCTGCAAAGTGGGCCTCATTGGCATGAGGATGAGTTGAAGATTGAGATGGAGGGAGTGGGGCCATAGAGCTGCAGGGCACTGAAGCTGTGACGGTTTTAGTGAGTATCTGGGGGTCCAGCAAGCTCAAGGATGTTCATTTTCAGCTAAAAAAATGTATAGTTCAAGTGATGGTAATGCATAAAAGAGGCCGTTCTCACAGCAGTGCCAGCCTGGGCTTTCCAGGTTCACCAGGACTAAGTAATCCCAAAGCCCATCTGAGCCTGAACTGCAGAATCCAGGAGCCACCCGAGCCTTGGAACTGGCCGTGGGAGTCCTTCTGGGTAGAGACAAATCTCTCTTAGGTTGATGCTTGCCTTTAAACAGAGATCAGTCAACTGTGGCTGATCGAGTCACTGCTAAATATAACTGGGCTGTTGCTTAAATGCACACAATTTTTTTCTTAAATGGCACAAACTGCCTTTTGGACTTTCTGGATGGAAACTTAAACCTCTAAGTGCATTATAGGATGGAGAAACTGAATTAGGCTGACATTGTCTGCTAACCCTGGGCTTTGAGATGAATGGCTAAAAGCAGGTTATTTATGTTTTCCTCAGCTGTTTTTGTCATTAAACTTAACGATGTTTTCTTTTCCTACCTGATGTTCTGAAGTCAAACGTCGCAGCGCTGCCGGCTCCCTTCAGCTCGCCTGTCGCGCAAGCTCGGCACGGATTTGGATTCGTGGTCTTCCATGTCCACATTGTCCCTTCCCTCTCCAGCTGAGAGCCAGTTCTTGGCAGTTCTTTTGTTTTGTGATATGTGCAATTAGTTTAACTCCTTGAAAATGCTTTTTAAAAGTAGCTATCAGTGAGTGCAGAAGCTTTGAAATTACCCTTTTGCAGAAGCACGGGCGCCGCACAAAAGAAATTGGACTTTCGCTACTACTGTTTAATTAATGGGCTGCATGTTGTAATTTATTGCTGGGAATATAATTAGAAGTAATGTAAACACTTTGTTCAAATAGCTCACGTGGTTTATAGGTGTATATATACAAGAAACCACAAGGAGCTGCAATTCTTTTTGAGTTGTTCAGCACCCGAAAGCACATGCAGTGGTGCCTGCACTCAATGTTCATGTAGTTCCCTAAAATCTCAACTTCTCCTCTTGATACCGTGGCCTGTCGCGTTCGTGTTTAAATGCGTTTCACAATTAAGGAGCGGGTTCCTCAGCTGCAGCGAGTGAGGGTAAGGCGTAGGATCCCTGCTGGTGTTTGAACGGCGCAAGGACAGCGGCACAGCGGGTCCTGTTCCCTGCCACGCTGGGTGATGTTGGGATTTTGTTGGAAGTCCTCACTTCCTAAGTCCGTCCCCACACGATGCTGTGCAGCCCCACGCAGAGACAGGCTCTGCGGGGAGAGGTTTGTCCCGTTCGAGGCAGGGCAGCTTGCATTGTATCGTGCGTTCCTGCTCTCCCTGATGATGACTGCTGATGAATTTAAGCTAAGCACGCAGCATTCCCATGGATGCAGTTGGGTGCGATGGATCCCGCACCTAGCACTGAATGCAGGTGAGATCTTGGCTTCTGCTCACAGCACCTCCGTTGTAGCATCTATCAGTGGTGGCAGATATGTTTTTTCTCTTGTTTTCCCTTCAGCTTTCCGTTCTCCATCCTTTCATTCACTTCCAGGTCATATCATTATCAGATTTCATGATGAAGTATCCTTTTACCCTGTAATTATATTGAGCTTGTGTGTGGATTTTTTTTTCTTCCTGATGGCTTCATCTTTTAAGCAATACATCACAAAAACACCTTGCCGTAATGATGTATTACACTAATAATATAGTAATACCTCATTGGAGTGACAGAGCTATGGTGATATATTAAGGTGATAGAAAGCACTATAATACTATAAAACTTAAGATAATGTTCACCCAGCAGAGCATTTCATTTAATTATAGGATAAAATATGTTTTGCCCATTTAAGCATCAGAACTTGAGGACAAAACCATCAATACTGAGATCATCCGGGACACTGCAGTATCAAGGGTGACAAAATAGCACATCAGATTAAATTGTGTTAAAAAGAAAATACTGTGCGCTTTACTTATGGTTGCTAATTGATGATCTGCTCAGTGCAGAAAGGAAGCTAAACAACCCTAAATTATTTTCCAATAGAGTCAATGAAGGTCATCAAGGCTTTTATTTCCCAGGTGCTAAGGCGTCTAATTAACTTTCTCCCATCCCCGAGATGCAGCCAGCCAGAAAGAATAATCAAAGAAGATGTATTGGTGGTGCACGGGGCTTGTGTGTGGCGGTGCACCCCTCCGCTCGCCTGGCATTGGCGGGGACTGCGGGTGCCCCCAGGAGCCCCTCAAAGCAGCACCTGAAGGTGGGGGATGCTGCAAGAGGCCGTTTTACCCGGGATGCAGTTTTACCCGGAAGGGTGCTTGTAAGAGGCTGTGGGTATGAACGCGTGTTTCTCTCTGGCGATGTGGCTTTGGGCCATTTACAGCAATTAAGTGGTTTAAGACCTCATCAATATTAACCACTTTTAAACGGGTTGCTTGTTAATATTTTCAAACTGTTTTTCTCTGGTCCTTCCTCTTGGTCTTTGTGGTTTGTCTCCCGTCCTGTGCCAGGCTGGGTCATCGCTTCAGGCACTTCCTCAGCCCGGTACCCCCACGTGTGTCCTTTTCCTGCTGGATTGTCCATATCCTCCAGCGCTCGCTCAGCTCGTGGCTGGCTTGCTCTGTTTTCTGGAGGCTGATGAACCTGCAGTATGCAGGACAGATCACTTTAAAGGACAGATATATTTTGGGGGGGGCAAGAGAGCAGAATTTAAACTCACTTCAGAGATTTGTCTTTCTACAAAGCC